GACGCTCGATTTCACAAGCACGCACTGAAGGCAGACATCAGTGGCATACAGCACAACCAAGCCAGCCATTCCCCATGTAGATGCCCGATTTCAGAAGCACCCGGGCAAGACACGCGCCGGTGGAATCATAACACAGCCGAGCCAGCTAAATTAGACGCACACACACAGACGACAAACATCAGTGGCACCACAGCACCTCCAAACCAACCCTTCCCCATGTAGACGCTCCATTTCAGAAGCACCTGCTCTAGACGCTGTAGGAACGCAGGCATCGTCCACGCAAGGAGATTGCTGGTTCGAGAGCCTGGCAGAGGTCCAAAAATGTGTGGTGAGTGGTGCAATTCGCGTAAGGTACGCGTAAGCAGTGCGTAAGCGGCGCCTCCCGTTGCCAACCCAGAAACACATCAGTGGCATCGCAGCAAACAGCAAATCAAAACCGGCCATTCCCCAGGAAGACGCTCGATTCGTAACGCAGTGGCATCGCAGCAAACAGCAAGTCAAAACCAGCCATTCCCCATGTAGACGCTCGATTTCGTAAGCACCCGCACAAGAAACACATCAATGGCATCGCAGCAAGCAGCAGCACATCAAAACCAGCCATTCCCCGTGTAGACGTTCGATTTCGTAAGAACCCGCACAAGAAACACATCAATGGCGTCGCAGCAAACAACAACACATCAAAACCAGCCGTTCCCCGTGTAGACGCTCAATTTAGCAAGCACCAGCTCCAGAAACACATCAGCGACATCGCATCAGACGGCAAATCAACACCAGCCATTCCCCATGTAGGTGCTCGATTTTGCAGGCACCCAGCAATACAGAAAGAACGATTCTCCATGTAAATTGCTGTGCATTCAGCTTTAGCAATCAAACCTCGACAGTCCCGAATCAACGTGATCACCAATCCCAAGTAGACGCTCGGTGATGTGACCCCCCCGGGTGCTTCCCCTTAGTGTGGGACGGGATCCCAAAATCATCTGTCGCTGTACCATACAACACACAGGATCATGCAGGCATGCTTCTCGGTCCTTAGCTGATTTATTTGGCGACTTAAAGTTTGCCTGTTTTCCTAATACGCGCACCTATTCTTACAATTACCTTGCTTTCTACTATAGTGTACTACAGTTACAATACTGCTGACCTTTGCCATGTTTGAGCCCTCCTGGAGATATTACAGACTGTCTCCTGTGTATGCACGTATGCACGTATGTATGCATGTGTTTGTGTATGTAGGTATGTATGTATGCATGTCTGTACTTGTTCATTTGCACATTGGTTGATGCCTGCATGTTTGCATGTAGGCATTCATGGATGCAGGTCTGTATCTATGTATGTAGAAACATGCCTACAGGCGGTCTTCTGCCTCCCTGGTCTGGCAAAGCCCCGTTGATGAGTAAGGTATTCATGGACACCTCGGCATTGGACCGCATGCTACTCCAGTACAGGATGAAGCAGGTAGACCAATGCACTGCCGAAATTCGCAGCAGATGGTGCTCTTGCTGCCCAGAAGCGGCAACTGTCGCGAATTGTTCATCTACCCTGCCTTCTGGCGCATTTTTGCCATCGAGAAGCTGGGTGAAGAACTTGGATTTGCAGGTGTTAGGCGATACAACTCTCCCCAGAGACCAAAACCACCCTGTCTGTTTGTCGTACCAGCTGCCGAGACAGCTTGAGGCTCTAGTTCGAGCTAAGTCACGATAGCGAAGACATACACGACGCCAAGGAGAAGCAACAAAGCAAAAAACACGGAGCGAAGGGCCACCCCGATGGCCTTCAGCATCACCTAAGTAGCGAAGCACAAGCCGGCCGAAAAATAGGCTTCGGAGCACCCGAAGCAGCGGTCAGCCAAGGAGTCTAGTGAATGCAGCATTGGGAGCGATGAATTATCAAGTCAAGAAGCGAACAGTTCAGGACAGGCTCGCAAGAGCCGTGCCATTCGCGCCATGCGCGTTAGCCGGAAAAGTCGTAACACTCGAAGAAAGCTGGGGCTGCTCATGGCACCAGAACCCATCGCTGCCTGCGAAGGCTGCACTGGCAAACACTCCTGTAATGGCACTTGGTAGATTTGGTAGTGATATGTAGAGATCTGTGGGGAACATGCAATTAGGCCGCCTAGCCGGGTGCATGTCTAACTGCGGAGGGGATGTTACATCATGCAGGCACCTGAATGTTTAACTGCATCTGGGGCACAACTGCTATCGTGAGTATCCAGGTTTCGAAGACCTGAGACTTGCAGCAGGCAGCAGGTTGGCAGAAAGCCAACAGCGCAACACGCCAATTTATGGCTCTTCTAGGGTCCTGAGTTGAAAGATATGCAGTCAAGAAGCCATAAGCGCTACCAGGACTGAATCAAAGACAAACCAGCTGTCTTTCATGCAGTTCCTCTTGTATCGGAATGCAGCGAAGCGGATGGCCAGCTCCACAGAGAAGTACACACAGAACAAATTCTCGACCACGATGAAAACCGGTTGTGCATCTACCAGCGTTGCAGCATCGTTTGAGTCCTTGGAGCGGTGAGGCTCATGGATGCCCCTGCATAAGGCCCGAAGAGTGCTGCCGCATTTACGCGGCGCCCGTCGCTGTTCATGCTGACTGCATCTGGGGGCAGTGTCGATCGCAATCCACACAGAATTGACCGCGATCATGAAGAGAGTAACGTGCTCAAACAAGCTTGACCGAGCTATCCTGCACAAAGCTTCACGTGATCTGTTGGTGCATGCCAGACTATCAACAAGCCACTTGGCATCGAATCAGAGACCTGCGGACGCTAGATTCATCCTAGACGTAAGTGCTTTCCAATTAAGCAGGTCGTCTGGTACGAAAATTTCTGACACCCAGCTGCCACGACAGTGTCCTTTGCCATACTCCAGTTTCCTTGTAGTACATTGACACGTCGTATGTCTCTTTGCCTGAGGCTGCGAACACATGTGTTAGCATGTCCTGGGGAGGAAGCGCGTGGCGAAAACGATGCGACATAAGGTGAGATTTGTTGAGACATGACCAATGCAGCTGATGGTGCTCAAATTCTGTTTCAGCTGCCTCTTTAATGCATCCGCATCAACGAAAACAGCTGCCTGCAACGGCAATCTCTGGTCCATGTACTGTCAGACCGTCGAGCTAAGCAACACAGGCCACATTGACTTCACTGACTACTCTCAGCAGGTGACAAGGCAACTGAACAACGGCATTCCCGTGCATTGGTGCTTATGTGCAACAACCGCTGAACAGGCCTCTCGAGCTGCAAACTGCACTTTTGCAAGTTCATCATCCTCATGGGACGGCTGGGCCGAAAGGGGCAGCGCGCTCTTGAGCTGCGACGGTGATGGAGACGGAACCTCGAAGCAATGTGGAGCTGAGAGAAGCTGAGGCCTTATCTGTCTTTAGCAGATGCTTGCCCAAACTTAGCTCTGGACAATCTGCGTAAGGCCGGCCGAGTTTGAAGCAACGCCCTCAGCCGTTGAAGTTGCTGGCATCCACCAGAGTCATCAGCATTCACCATGAACCATAGTGCAATCTTGCGAGAGCTAAGGCCCAGGCCACAGCCCCGTCGGCGTCGTCAGCCCAGGCCTGACAGCTGAATCCTTCATGGACCTGCCCTACCGGCCCTACCGGCGGCCCTGCAGCGAGGCCTCCCGGTTCACGGTCGAAAGATGCGGCCCTGAGGCGGCGCCTGGTGCCAAGCATGCCGGCACAACAACGTTCAGGGACGGTTCCCGCCGCCCTGCTATCCGTGCTTACCCCGACAAGAAGAAGACACAGCAAAGCTATGGAACTCTCCTACGTGTGGCTGCAAACTTAACACTCTTCTGCCTGCAGCACGGTCTGGACCGTTTTCTTTTTCACGAATTGTTCCGGGCATCGGATGGCCTCAACCGAACAAGCACGAGCAAGATTGGCAGCAAGCCCAACATCTAAAGCCCGCCTTCCCATTCAGCTAATCTGATGCGAAGATCCTTGTTTTCACGATGCAAGACGGCAGCTTCCTGCGCACAAAGACAATATGCGATGCATTGGGCAGTCTCGAAAACCGATTCAAACCCGAGTCCTTCTCGTAGTCTTTCAGCGCTTCTACTTGCTTCTGAACAAGCAACCTCGAGTATTGCGGTGAGTGCGCCCTAGCGACAGCAAGACTCGCACTTACGAGCATGACTGACCGTCTACGAGCTGTATAAACTAGTCACTGCTGAGAACAAGTGTCTCCAGCAACAAAGTCATGGAGTGAGTGCTGCTGGCTGCAACAAGGCGCGTCATGGACTCGCAGGTAGCAACAACAACTTGCTGGAGGCTGTCAACCTGAACGGTGCAGGTTCCGACTGCGCGAGCATCTTTTGAGTTGAGTTCATCTCAAGCTCAGAACCTGATGGAGCAGCTGCCCCATCGCGGGAAGATTTTTCTGATCGGGCACCTGCGGGAAGGCGTGAAGCGAAGTCCCCAATAACTCCCGAGGGCTGGCAGCATCCAGGATTCCAGCCTTGTCCATCCCTAGCTCCTCCTGGGCAGGTACGATTCGATTCTAAGCAACCCTGGCACCAAGGGTACATTGACGAACATCTTGGCCAAGCGTCTACCTGTAGGAAAGCCTCAAACTCGCCGGACGGCTCATGGCCGCCACTGCTGAACGGCATGCGACCTCGAAATTAATAGCCTCGGTCGGAATTGTTTCAAGCTCTGCACAACACCGCTCCGAATACTTGCGCAAGGTTGGCTGAGCTCATGTCTCAAACTGTCTCCGGTGCAGCCGCCACGGGCACCCCGACTTCCACTTGTCGAGAAACTAACCACCCCCGGGCTTGACCCATAGGGCTGCGGAAGCCAAGCGAGTCAAGATCCAACCCTTCTACAGGCAAAACGCAACATCTTTTGTGAGCATCGGCCGCTAGCCCTGACGTCCCTGCAGCCCTGCCTCTGGAGAGACGTCCGGCCAGAGGCCCGAGCCAAGTCACCTTAACAAGGAGTCGAGACGGCAGAGCCATTCCAGGCAGAAAGGTCCCGGCCACTGAACTATCTTTCCGTGAGCTGGAGCGGAGACCAAGTCTGTCCTGTGTTAGGACAACCTGACATTCAGCCTGTCTTGTTGACAGCTGGAAGCTGCACAGCAGTCAGTAGTAAGTCGTGTCTTTCGTGACATGACGTGGAAAACAGAGCGGCTTGTCGATCTGCCCAATACAAGCCCATATGTAGTTGCCGAGCATCACTGGTGAAACGTCGTAGCCTTTCATCTGTGCAATCCTGGCAGCATCTGCAAGCTCGGTCGACAGAAGGTTCTAGAGATTGATTCCGGACACTTCGAACTATCATGGACTGGGCCGGTCTACAATGCAAAATCATAGGATGCTACGAACCTATACCACAGAAGTCACTGCTTTCGAGAAGCGAAGCTATATCTTCCAGCGCAGCAATGGCCGCAGCACGCAAGGCCACTTCGGCAGCGCCGCCGCTCGGAAGGGGAGTGTGCAGGTCCAGTTGGGTCGTGAGCTCCTTAGACACGGAAATGTCCGCATAGACTGCAATGCATGCAACCATCCCTGCCTACATGGACAATCGTGTCCAAGGTTCCAGGGTTGTCTTCACCACGTGCTCCCGTCGTAGAACGCTAATCACAAGTGGATCCACATTGGCAGTGAGCATCTTGATATCTGCAAAGTCGAAGCGGTCATCTCGAAGATGGAAGCGCTCCTTGCCGCATGTTCTCCATTCTAGAGATCCCTTGCAGAGTTTGACAAGCAAGAGCCCCCTTCATGGGAGCTTTACCACATGATTCACAGCAAGGTCACATACAACTCGTTCACCACACTCTGGGCTTTCTTGTAGAAGTAAACCGGGAGCCCACCCAACTTGTCAACATCCTGGTGATGCTCAGTGATGCGCAGACTATCGCAGACTGCAAGCTCTCAGACGCTCACCACCTCGGACAAATACAGGCTGCTGGTACGGGTATGGGAGCTCTCTTGCAGTGAGTCAGAAAGCCAGGGCCTGAAAACAGCTCCTTGGCTATGGCAAAAAGCAGTAAGGCATCGCGGCATCGTGTGGAATGTAATCTGAAGTTTCGGAAAGCTGCGGGAAGGTTTCTGTCAGCACCTGGACTAGCTTGGAGGCCGCTGTTGCATCTTTGTAGAAGCCATTCACGGAGAACATGACGAACTCTTGGAGATTCCTCACACAAAAAATGTAAAATGCTTGACTCGTGTGGCCACGTCCTCGTGATGAAAGTCGACTCTCTCAGAGCGAATCGAGCTGCGGATAGCCCTTTTCCAACAAGGTCTCGCCCAGCTCGCGGAGAACCTTACCGGCAGCCGCAACCACAGGCCGACACGGAGGAAGTGGGAACCCTTACTTTGTGTTTCTACCTGGCCCTCGAAACGGCCAAGTCGCAGTATGTAGCTTTTGCACATACCTCAGGTTGACTCTGCAGTCTACCTCTGTCCACGGACAGCATCATGCGACCACTGCGAGCAAGGGGCTCTTGCAGCACCTCGCTCTGCAACCCGAAGTACTTGGCAACGTCAGACACGCGAAGACTGCAGAGCCAGTCCTTGATACCGAATTGATACCGAAACCTCAAGAACTCAAACACTCCGATTGTGAACTCCAGGAAGTCAAAAGCGCAAGCAAGTGGCTGCGCGCCCGTCTGGACATGCTGCAAGAATTTTATCCAGACCAGCCCGCACCTCCACAAGTGCCAGAACACTCCCAGTGACAAGGTCTCCAGGCCGGTGCTTCGCTTCGCAGCGGGCTTCAAGGATGTCCAATGCAGTCGTTTCGGTTAACTCTTGGAGCGGAGTCCCCTCGCAACCACCGCAGGCCCCCCCCCCCAACTTTCACAAGTCTATGTCTATGTCAAGTCTAGAGTCTATAGCGTTATAAGACTCTTTGCAGGGAAACAGGTGGTCTGCATGCTTGAAAATTCCAGAACCTGGTCAAGGTATGCTGGCTTGCGTTGGCGTTTTGTGTGCATTGGCTTGTTTGTGCGTTTAGTGTGTGCGTTACTTTTGTGCTTTGCGTGAGCGAATCAGAAAAGGCGCCAAACCTGCAACACAAACAAAAAAAAACACAACATGATTCTGAACCCCTAGCCAGTCTCTGGCCCAGAGAGTCTTATAAGTCCAGAAACTCCAAAAAGCTCTGAACTAAGATGCGCCGTCTGCCAGGGCCCAAGGCCATGGTGGGCGTGAAGCTCCGAGCGCCAGCCGGAGCCGAAGTCCATGGCTCCAGCGAGGCAGATCAGCGCCGCCTCCTGGGGAAAAAAACCCAACTATCAGGGGACGGGGCTTCCTTCACGAAAACATGAAAGCACAACTCAACTTCGGTGTGGTTCAACGGAAGCTCGCGTCATGCCTCCGACACTTGCGGAAGCTTACTAGTAGGGGCCCAGAGGCCCAGATTTGGAAGATTGGCTACGGTACTGAAGATCTAGACTTCACACGTTGTTACCGAACCCCTCTAAAAAAGCGGTGCCCAGCCCACGGGCTGTTCGCTGTTGGAGTACGTTGGCTGGGCAACTCGATGACTGGACGGATGACTAAATTTTGTCGGCGAGCCTCACCGACTGCCTGAGATGATCCCGCGGTGCAAGAGGCCTCACATCTCAGGGGTCCTTCGCTTGGGGCACAGTTCAAGCAAAACTAAGCTCCAAGCATCCATGGGCTGATCTGCCAGTGCACACATGTCCTCAAAGCTGGTCCAGCTGCGTTGAATTGCAGAACCCATCAACAAGCTTTAAAACACGCTGATCTTCCGGTCTCTCGCTGCCAAACTGGAGGGCTAGGCCAAACCATTGCATTCCCCTGGTCCATTCAGTGAAGCATCATCGAAATTCAATGATGCTGCGAAGCAGGCAGTGTTCATGCGGCTCGCCCATGCCGGTGCCTCGGCTGTTGGAACTGCTGCGACAGACGCTGCGCGCCGGACAGCCCACGCAAGACTTGCAGGACCGTGGCCTCGAGCTTGGAAGCCTCGTATCAGTACTGAGTACTGCCACAGCAAGGTGAAAGAGTCCGCTGGAAGCGCACGACTGCGTGCCGGCCAGGGGCTACATCTTGCAGAGCACAGCAAGAGTGGCGCACACGTTCTGGATAGGGCATGTCCGACATGTGCCTTGCGAGTCGAGGCCTTCAAACTATGTTGCACGCCCTCTCATGTTGATAGAGGAGTGATTCTCTGCAGCACACGTGCATAAAGATAGCCCACGCAACAAGGCGACGGCCACGTAGCAAACAAGCCGCACGCACGCGCACGCACGCACGCACACGCACCCACACACACACACATATATATATATATATACACACACACGCGCACACACACACACACACATATATATATATACACACACACACGCGCGCACACACACACACACAGACACCCTCGACAGGTTGAGTGTAGTCATGGTTGGATTTAGCTGTTGCGAAAGTGCTGGATGGCCTGTTGTGTTGCCTGATTGTTGGTTCCGAAAACGGCTCAGATCGCGGAAACCGTGCATGTTTCATGTGCAAACCCTCAGCGAGCTCAACGTTCCCACCTGTGCGAACACAGGCTTGCGAATGCTGCAAAGATTGCTTGGGCAACAACAGCGATGATAACGAGTGTACAGCTAGGATTCTAAAGTTGATACGTTTATCATCACAGTGCAGTACGTGAGGTTGATCAGACCTCATATCCTGGCAATCTGACTGGAGCTTCGCTGCACCAGGCCAGTTAAGTGCCCCTGGTGCCCCTGCAAGTTGTTCACTGAAATCCCTCTGCAAATGCCAATAGCCGTCGAAGAAATGCATTCGGATGGGACATGACTCCCTCAAGTTCAGACCGAGAACCACACACACACACACGCGCGCGCGCGCACACACACACACACACGCGCGCGCGCGCGCCCACACACACACACACACACACACACGCGCGCGCTGGCTGTAGTGTAGCTTCATCATGCTCGAGCCAGGAAGAGTGGAACTATCCTTTGGACAGGGCACCTGAAATCGGGGAAGTCGAAGACCTTGAGCCATGGATCATCCGCGAGGGCCATCGGCAGTAGGCGCTGGGCAACAACTTCGTTTCGCTCGTTCTCCGACTCTAAGTTGCGCTGGACTCTCTGCAGGTATGTGCTGGTTCAAGCCTGGATACACATTCATGCAGGTTCTCCGAAGTGTGTGGCGGGGCATGGAAGATCATGGAAGTGAACCTCAAGAATCTGAACTTCCATTTGTCTCCCCATGCAGTCCTGGGTGTTTTCTGTTAGATGAGCCAAGAAGATTTTCAAAACAGGCCATCGCTCTAACGGCCTGCAACAAGCAGTGCTTCGGCACCTTTTGGCTGCATGATCGCGCATGCAGGTGCCGATAAGCTGGATGGTTCGAACATGCAGAGGAGTAATTAGTCTTATTGAAGGGATACTGTCCGATCAGAGCCGTATCTTTGACTTCTGCATCGGGTCCAAAGCCTCATGCGCGAGCACTCGTCGCAAATGCCAACACTGTCTGTTAATGTTGGTATTGTTTGCAACTGTGCAGCCGAAAACTCCCAGCCAGACTACATCAACTACTAGTACATGTAGCTTTCGATTCAGGTGCAGCAAGGAAGCTGAACAAAACATGAATCGCCAGCGAAGCACGGTGCCTCAGGTGAGGTCCATCGCAGGCCCGGGCGGCTGGCAAGGCCGCGCCTGCTCAAGGAGTCTATGAAACTTCTCGCCATAATATAATATATTATATTATATTATAATACATTATATTAATATAATATAATATAATATAATATATAATATAATATAATATATAATAATATATAATATAATATAATATAATATAATATAATATAATATAATATAATATAAATAATATATAACGTAATATACTATAACATAATATAATATAACATAATATAATATAATATAATATAAT